ATGTTTTGTGATCATACAACATCCATAACTGATGTCAGTGACAAGTTATCCACAATGTCATACATTGATTTTGCTCACATATCACTGTCTTGCATTCATCTCTACTTTACAAATTTATTTATGATAAGATCTATTGTACATTTTTTTTCTTTTACTCTGGTCAGAGTCTGGTTTAATGAAAATCAAAATTTGTCACTTGTAACAGACTACCTGAAAAGTGTCTATAATCCACTGACTGAATGTTTGGATGGAATTTTTTGCAGGTTATCTCCCAGTGACAGTTCATATGTGAATTCAGCCTTGCCACAACCCTGCATGGCATGCTCTCCATTTTCACTTGAATGTGCACATTTACCATGAAGTGCTGGAGGTGTAACCAACAGAACTGTCCTACAAAATGATTTTCCACATCGGGGCTTATCATTAAGTATAAACCACATCCCACTCACCACACTGAGCATGTGGTCCACCTTCTCGATGAGTTTGGGTTTCAGGGTGTGGAACTTGGAGAAGTCCATCTGCCTGAGCTGCTCCTGCATGCGCTCGATCTGCGGGAAGTCTCCGATGGAGATCTGCTGCTCCCGCTGGATCTGGTCATACACCTTGTGGAGGTTGTCAATCAGCTCCTTCTTCTTGGAGTCCTTGCCGAACACCGACGGCATCTGGGCGCGAAGGTGGCTGATGATGTAGACATGGACCTGCACAACACAGAGACAGTTAGGATACAAAAGTACATGTAGTCATGTACCGTAAATATTAATTTGAACCTTTGTTTCTACATGAGAAGCTCAAATTGGCCTGCAGGTGATTATAGTTTTTATACAACCAGTGTTTCCGCCAGAGGGCCGTCCACCCGTCATATGACGGCCTGGTGTCGTTTTGGACGGCCTGAACTCGGACAGAGGCCGTCCTCTTAAAAAATTTCGAGACTCGGGAAAAATCAGAGAAATTGACAGTCTTTGTTTTTTTTGCTGTAGACGAGGACGCCGTCCAAGGCAAGAAAGACACACGTTGTTTGTTTTGCTATTGTTATCATGCTGACGAACAATTGATGTCGGCGCCTTTCGCATACGTTAATCTCATTAAAACCCGTTTTTCAAGTCTCCATCCGGTAAAATGTATCCACAAACATTTTTCCTCGAACAGAATCATTTCGGATGTGAAAATTCTCTTTTGGGAGTTACGTTTTCGTTTTTGATGGTCTTGTATCGGGCGGGTTGCATGAAAATCCACGCCGCAGTTCGCTATCCACGCCGCGGTTCGCTAACACTTCCGGCTTGCTTGAATACGCGAAAGGCACCACAAATCGGCATATAGATGCATACATTTTCCCCAAAATTCTTCATAATGAATTTCTTTAATGGAATGTTACTAATTAGCGATAGAAACACCGTAGAAAGTAGCGTAGTGTAACTCTCTTCGCCAACAAACAAATTCTACAGCTATGCCGGCAAAGATGGCTCTATCCAATCAGAGCGCAGGTCATATGAGGTCAACCAATCAGAGCGTAGAGTTCACGCTGCTACTTACATATTAATGACAAAATGGCGCGTATTTTCTTCTCGGCGAGGTTGAGAATGTGTGCTGTAAGTTTATTTTTCCGGCGATTTTCGGACTTTTAACGACGATTTTTCGCACACTACGATCACGCTACCATTTGACACTGTACTGGAGACAACAGATGAGTGATCATTTTACAATCAAGGAGCATTTTTGTTGAATGAAACAGCAATGAAAGCTACGATACAGCCAATTATTTTTCAAAATTTGTCTCGTGTATGAGAGATAAGATGACGTTTCTTTACATGTTTTGATGTATTTTTGGCTTGATATTAACTAGTAATTCGTAGCGGAAATGTACGGAAGAAGTACGAGTACGAACGAAGCAAGGCTCATCACTATTAAAAATCCAGCTAGCGCGGGCGCTACCGGAGGTTATACATTTGTAATTAAATGATGCCGATGTTTGGAGTTTTGCAGCAGAGTTTTGCAACAGTATAATTTCCTGACGATACGTTTGCCATCTGTAACAGTGTTTTTATGTCAATACAAAAAAAAATGTGGAATGCTTGTGGACAGTTTCAACTTGTAAACAAGTGTAAACAAATGCCCCGCCCCCTCAGTTAATTTTCGCGACGTGTTCCCTAAGTTAATTAATTTTCGCGACCCGGCCCTTCCCAACTCAACTGGACGGCCTCTCAGCTGTAGTCTGGCGGAAACACTGTATACAACACTCTACGTCTACGGTGACTGATGGTGTAAGCATAGACAACACAAGCATATCCTGCCTGATAGACAAGATAAGGCCATAGTGGGCCAAAACACCACAAACATCTGCCACATACTACTGCTCTGAATAAACTTTCTTTATCAGCTGGAAAGGCTTGAGCTGCTATCCCATGTACCTGTTTGTGTATATTACACACTTGATAAACCTCAGTATTAACATAACTGTGCTGCCACACAGTGACATGAAATATGCAACTACCATTCCAGATGAATAAGATTCACTTAACTGTCAGACCAACATGTTTGGTTTTAACATGGCTTTTCAAAGGCTTCTGATGACTAGGTTGGTTATCCTTAGTCACTTGGTCACATGGTTTCAAATGGACAATATGTAGTATAGCACGTCGGCAGAACGTACTGCGCCTGCGCAGAACCCTGCATTTTCACGTTTTGCGTTGGATTTTTGGTCAACGTTGCATCAGAATTTTGACTGTTGCAGAAGATATCTTTGCCGACACCATTTGGAAACTACTGTCGAAATGCTGACCTTGTATGAGCGAATACAACCTTATATCAGACATTCTGCCGAAGTGCTATGTACAATACATTATGGGTTTTGCGCAGGTGCAGTACGTTCTGCCGACGTGCTATATAGTACATGTATATGGAATACAAGTTTATCATATCACACATTGTGACTACATCAATAATTCATTGTATTCATCGATTGATGTAGCAAACTGGATATAATATATTGTGTAGTGGTCTAAATATATGCAATCCCACTAATAGATTATTGTAAGCTTGGGGGTTCAAATCTCTGCCTAGCTACAACAGACAAGTATTTTTTCACCCCTTTGTGCAGACTGAAGGATTGCAGTCCTGATGAAATTGATGAAATTTTATAACCAGTCCTACATCTAAGGACCTCACACTGTATCACATTCATGTAATGTTACCCAACAGCTTCAACTGCTGTTCTACATCACTTGTCAGTTTACCACATTTGTGATTCAGAAGCTCCTTGTGTTCCAGTGATTAATCAGTTTACTGCCCAACTTTCACACATGCAGCTTGGTCGGCTGAAAGCTGTGAATATTTACACTTGAACTTGATCACAGAGGACCCTGTGTTTACCTCAATGTCATCAACCCCACCCATAAGGAGTGTGCTGGTCTTGGCAGGAAGCATCCTGGTCTTGGCAGGATGAAAAGAAAACAGGAACATGGTCTTATAAGAAAGC